ATTATCAAACGTTTATTCAGAAGAAAACAAACCTTTCAATAACTGACTGATTATCTTTATTGTTGTTTTCTATGATTAGCTCATCAGCAGATAATTATTATTTTTTAAAAACTTGCATTAAAAACAAATTATCCAGTCTATTGGACTCAATTTGCATCCGCAGAACAAAAAAAAAATAAGATTGAATTTTCAGTTATTTTGGTAATCATGATTTCCAAAATGGCATCAGTTTCACTCAACCCGCTGAGAAATCATTGGATTTTACTCACACTCTCTTACAGAAACTCATGAAAAAGTAATCGTTCAGTCTAAGGCAACTTATTATTAGAAAGTCTGGATCGCCTGGGGGAGGGAGGGACATGGGGCACTGAGAACCAGGGAAGCATGTCCATAGAACTGAGAAGGTCGTAGTGAGTGTAGGTTTCAAACAATGAATTCTTCAAACATTTATTTTTTTTTGTTCCAAGCAGTACGTGTCAGTAAATAACATCTTGAGCATAGTTTCTGATGGCAGTTACCCAAGAAAACTAGACACCCAGAATTTGTTTTATCATTGACTGTCTGTTTTATTGTGGTAGATTGTTGGCTGGGAGTCTGTCCATGTCCAATTTAATTAATTTAGTCCACTCTGATTGTGTCTTTCATTTGTTACAGTCCCATGTTTTGTAAACTCACTATATTGCCACAGCTTACATGAAGAAACATGCTTTGAGTAGCATTAGATCTCTTTTCACATTGTAACATGATACTGCCAACGGGCGCCATTTCACGAGACACGCAAACTGAAATTGCACAATAGGAATGAGTAATTCAAGACCCAATACTGTCGCGACTGCGAAGCAATAAGCAAAACAGACACCAATCTCCGATTGCAAACGTGTGACTTTGCAAGGACTGCCTTTGCTGTTGGCAAGAACACGATCAATATGTTAAAGTTGCCACGTATAACAGATCTAATATAAAATGCGATAAGGATAATTTTGCAATCAATATCACTATAAAATTATGCGTACTTAGTACTGTTATCACTATGGCAACAGCAACAATGAATAAGAAGCCCTGTAAAAATAATATCATATTGCAGGAATTCAAAAACGGCCATTGTACGTTTTCATCGCTTAGAACTAAAGTAATGCCGAGACGTATAAAATGGCATAATTCGTTCTAAGTGTCTTCTTCTAACAACGGCGGACACAATGTAATTATGAGATGCAAATATTAATGTATACATGCACGTCTCGTAATAGTTACTGAAATATTAAATTTCTTCTAAAAGTTCCTCTTATTTGCGGTAAAAAATTATCATTATTAATAAGCAAAATTTATTTATGTGAATAATGATGATCAAAGGCATATATAAATGAAATGCATGTAGCGTGGCGGTTGACGTACCACGTTGTGTGTGATGTGGGTCCCATGCGACGTATACAACATGTGTTTAAATAAATTTATATTCTACAAAATTTCAGCGCATGCTACTTCAACAACTGTGATGATTTCATGCAAATACACATAGTTGTACAATTATCATAATATTTATATTGCTAGTATATTTCATGAAATTATAATCTAATTTCAGTTTCATTTTATGTTTATTTTGGGAATAATTATTGACACAACTGTAATTTTAACTGAGAGACAGAAACTTGAATTATGTTTTTTCAATCTATATATATTTAAATAAAAGTATTTCAATGACGTAGTTTGTAAAAGAATTCTGAAAGACGGTGAAACGTTAAAATATTCATGAAATATTATCAGTGTGTGTACTACTCCAAAGATGTAGCTGTTTTTTTTCTTCTAAATTTAAGTATTGAGATGGCAGAACATTTACAAGTAGGTGGAAGATTTGCTAAGAATGTGCGTGAATTGCGGGAGATATTTAAAGGTTTGACATAGTTCTGAAATTATTACTGGCTCAGTAATTGCAAATAGAGTACATCTTTACAAATCTACATATATATAACAATATATATATATAGTAGATATTATTTAGTATTCATCGTTCTAAGTAACTACGGTAATCAAAATACCTAGACAGTCAAGCAATATTTGTAGCAAACAAACAACGTACAAATAATCAATTGGGAAGCTGAAACAATTGGAATATTTCTTACATGCTTCAAATTCAGACAATCGAAAAATTTCACATAGCCTTATAGGAATGAATTTAAATTGAAAGTTATACCAGTCACTTCAAATTATAAAAAAGTAAATTTTATCAAAATTGAAGGTTATGTCAAATTTTTGTAAATATGACAAGATTCGTCACAAATATTATTTGTAAAATATACCTTCGCAATGCTAAGTTACAACATACAGTTTAACCAGTACAGAATGAATCCTGTGTTGTATTACTTTCCTTAGAAGCACATTTGCTCAAATAAATGAAATGTTAAAATACAGGTCGTTACTGTAGCATGATAAATGGATTGGTGAAAGTTTGGTAGATTTCAAATCCCACCAAAACAAACATTTTTTAAGCTTATACATGCCTTTATCAGACCAAAAAAATATTTCAAATTGACCAGCATGAATGGTTCTTATTTTTATTCTGAAATTGTCCTTGAATTGATGATTTTTCATGAAAACGGAATTTCCGTCAACATGGATCTGTAAACCGGTCAAGAACCAAACAACTACATGTATTCCTGTCATTGCAATGCAACAAAAATGCATGATGTATGTGGAGTTTAAACTTTTCGACACAATTTGTTGTAACAAAGTTCACTCCATGCCTGTCCACTGTAATGATGTCCTTGACATTTCAAGAAACAATTTGGGGGAGGGGGTTAAATTATTCACATTGTAACAATAGATTGTATTTTTATGCAAATTAGTCACCATGCTTGGGTGTGTACATTGCAACCACCACAATGGAATACGCATACTACTACTTTGTGTTGGTTAGCGATTCAGTACAAGCGGCAATGATCCGTGAAACACCCCTTGAATATTCTCGGCAGAACTGAGTATCGAATTTGTAATAAAAGCGAGTGTCTCTTAAAAACTAGTAAGAAAACCACACTTATAGTAATGATTTGCAGAGTCACACCATTTAAATAGCTTTGTATTTCTGTACGAAAATTACATTCTTTTTCAAAATCAGTATTTACAAGTCTTGCCAAGGATTTATAAGATGTTCAACAGGTGTGATATACGATGATCCAAATTCGGAATTCACACAAATTACGAGATGATCATAAAACGGCACAACAAAACGTACAAATCTAGAGATACTAGTGCAGATGAATTTGTGAAAGAACAGGTTGGTGTTTGTCTTCAGTCATTTTGTTTCAGTGCCCCTGATTATTTGGGAATCATGCGTGTTGCATTTTTTAATATAGCGTTAATCTTTCGGTTCGCGCGAGGAAACCTTACAAGTGTCCAGTGTTCTGCGACGCTATTGGTTAGAAATACATTTGATTGACACATACACTGCAGCATCACACATTAAATATACGAATATATAAGCAGTTACTTGAATTTGTATAGGGGAAAATGCACCAAATTATAACTAATTGATGCACTGCTTTAAAGCGGTCACCTGCACATGCATCAGATGGCCAGTGTGTCATTGTTTACAAACAAGCGTCTACCCATAAGCCTTTGCATTTTTAGCGTGTGTTGTTATCGTTGCTTGGGACTCAATTCCCGCGCAGCCCTCTCGCTTTAAAATAACCCAGTTTAGACAACGAAGCCAACCCTACAAAAACCTGAACTTCTCTAATCAAAAAAAAATATATTCTGTAACTACAGATACAGAAAAAACGCTAACCTAAATCACTGTTTTCCTAGTATCTGTGCCTAAATTGTGTTATTATCAGTCTTTAAATTTATCTGAACAATCCTAATTGTGCAGTTATCACTGTTATATAAGCTATAAAAAAAATGGTTTTATCTTGATTATTCCTCATGGGGATACATATATAGTTTTATGACAAATCTAATTTAATACACTGTGATTATATTAGACATTACACATCTTGTGAATGCATGATTGCCTCAACACAATTATTTCTGGATTCGGCTATGGTTTACAATTTTGGTTTTTGGAAGCATGGAACGAAACAAGGGTCCATCAGTAATTAAGAAGCTCATATACTAGTATATTCCTCTCGAAACGTGAATTAAAGATAGTAGTGAATGATAGTACAGGTAGTGAATGATGCACTGTGGTCTTAAATATTCACATAGCGAACATTGTACTGTGCCTAGTCCACAGAGTATTATTTTAATCCTGGGAGATACGCAAGTGTACGTGTGTTGCATGATTTACGGGGAATACAATAATTGTAATAACATTTGTGTGGACATTCTTGTCAAATCTGTCAGACTGGGCGTAAACTAACTTCTACAACACGACAACGTGAAGGGGAGAAGATTCCCGAAAGCAATCGTAGTAAGTGTTTACCGCAAAAAACATCAACATCTCAAGGGTATCTCGTCTGATATTACGGGTATTACGAGAGAACGGCGACATTTTATGTTGAACGACCTGTCGTGTAGCAGGAAATAGGTACCATACAACACGTTTCTTAGCCTCTGTGGCGACTTCTAGAACAAGTCGAGATTTTAGATTATTTCACCAGTCCACAACAATGCTGTGGAATTTGTGATCCGCTATAATCTAGTTAGTTTTCATAGAATAATCCCCGCAAAGGTTTGAATAAATACGGTATGTTATCGTTTATATTGTTCACTATATTTGACCCGTTACAGGCAGGGAATTTCGTCATGTTCGCCAGTAGACGGGATTATTTTGAGTATACACAAATTGGGGTAAATCGAATCGACAGTGATATGCAGGTCTCCGACGTCCGGGAGCAGATTCGTCGATCGGCGTCGATCACTGTAATTTACAACTTGAAACGCCATTGTAACATCCGTGAAATCGAACACACTCTGACGTGTCGATCATTTTACCGTTTACGCCTAGCCACAATCGCCGCGAAACCCCCCGATTTTTCACCCAATTTCATTCGAATTCCCACGCTTACCTGCTCAGATGGCGGCCTGTCAAGCCCATTGCTTGTTCGAGTGTCCATTCTTAGTTCTCGTTGGACTCCATACATGAGTGATAGTTAGCGAGTGGGACGGTAAATGAGAGCACTTCGGTAATAGCTCCAGCTACAGCGCGGCGTGGATGTTGTCAAGCTGAGTGAAATAACAATGGTCACGTGACCTGGTCTCCAATGAGTGTTCCTGAACAGAATACCACGGCGGGTAAACAAATACTTTTACGACCATCCTCCGTAATTGCATACGCAAACTAATTAAAGCGCCAACAAAAATAATTAAATTACCGGAGGGCCGGTTAATTTCAAAACCGGTCGATGAGATTACATTGAGGTGGCAGCACTAGAATGAAAAAAATACATGTGTAAATTTGCTACTGATTTTAAATGTTTGATTTGTTCGCATATTTGAAGACACTCTTCAAAATACCCGGTGATGCACCGTTCAATAAGTTATTTTTCTACCCCCCCCCCATGTTTTCTTTTTGCATTTTTTGCAACGCTGCAATTGAAAGACGATCTATAATGTTATGCGTTTGCTAATTATTCTTGACTTCTTTGCGGGCAGTAGGGTGCGTAAAGATAGTTTGAAAGCTTAGAATCCTGGTGTAGAAGAAGTGAAACAGCGCACAGATTCCGCCCTCTTTGGTCGCCATTTCCATTTGGTGTACACAACTTACAATACAATACAATCAAGAATAAGTCGGATGTGTGAAAACAGGGTCCAAATCAATTCAGGTAGTGAGCGACAGTATCTCAGCTACTCCCAAATCAGCTTTCACGTGGTCGAAAATGCACACACATCGTTGACAATCATTACAGCAAGTCTTAGCAAAGCGAACACAGGAACTATAATTAACTGTACGCCTATCCTATTTTGGTTTTAACTAAAGTAGATGACCTATAATTCGATTATTACAGTTTCCGTCACCATCAAATGTCCTATAAAAGAAAAAACATACTGTGAAATACATTATTTTCTTTTTTCGCTGAAGCGAATATACTTTTTTTTCATATATTTTACATTCAACTCATCAAAAATAAATTCTATACGAAACTCTTTTCAGCGAAAATTAATTCCAGCTAAAATTAAGTATTTTACTGTATTAAATAAGTTTAAGAGGCTTTACAGCTCTGAAGAGTTTGCAAATTTTTTTGTGTTGGTCAAATTTGCTTTGTCAAAACCAAAATTATAAGTGAATTAGTAATTCAGTTGGACAACTTGCTGCCCCAATACTTCAGAGACTTGTGATAAGCCAAGCAGTTAATTCTCTGGTATGCCTATAAAATGAGCAAGGTTTGTTAGAATTGAGAAACAACTACAGATTGACTTTCTTTTTACACTCATTTGTATAGAGCTTAGTATGTGCAAGATGAGTTTTCACAAAATTTGCAGATAGCTAAATTTAAAAAAAAAAAAGTGTGCATTTAAATAACATACTTTTCCTTCCCAAACCAGTGGATTAGGTTACGGTATGCAACTACAGTAAAGCCTATCTCACCTCTTAGTATGCGTTAGTTTGTTGATGGGAGCCATGAAACAATGATGTTTTTAATTTTCAAGTTCAATTTTCTTTTTCTACAGCAGTACACACCTTAGCCTGGAATCCATCTATTCAGAGTGTCCTTCCCAGTGCATGGTCTGGTGAATTGCTACCTAATACCAAAGTCTCTAACAGTGGGACTGTGCTAATACGCATAGTGCACAGACAGTGGTACACGTCTTGCAGTGCTGGGTTATTTATTCTGTCCGAGAGGGAGGATGTCTTTCACTCATAATTCCATATCAACTTGAAATAAACATTTATGGACAATTCTAATGCTTCTGGGAAAATGATGAAAGTTCAAAAATAAAAAAAAGT